AAGTTGTAACCAAGGGGAGTACACTCCCAACTCATGTCTATGATAATGGCTTGAACCTTAGTCAGTGTTGGGGTAAATTCGACATTGATGTTTTCAGTTTGCAGGAGATTTGCTCGACTGCTTATACTGATTATTTGCATGCATGATTGTGTCGCTAAACCATCAATTAGACTGACAAGGTTTTGAGATATTTACTGAATGAGCAACTGATAGAGAAACATACTGTAATCATCTGTAGTGAATGAAGATAAAAGAAAAACAACACTAGTGATAATTATAAGTCAATTTGCTGACCGATTTTGTTAATAGTTTCATTAATTTTATCAATCATATTACGTGATTGTCAAGTCATGACAATGCTTTATGACGATATCCTGAAACTATTATGTTTAACTAGTTATAGTGTTGATGAGGATTAGTCAGTGGAAAAATAGGTATTGTTGCTTTAGGTGATTCGAAATTATCAGAAATTTGTAACGTTAAAGAATCCGAGACGCCTAATTTAATTATAAATTTTAATTCAGAAATATTCGTTTAGTGTTAATTCTAGTAGGCTACGGAGTTTTGATTTTAAACGTTTGTTTAGCCAACAGCTACCTAGGGATTTAGTTATTTTACTAGTGCAGTTGATAGTACCTAAATTTTTAATCTTATTATCTAAACTATGTTCGCATTTTAGGCTGCTAATATGATAAACCAATCCATAAACCCAAATACGATTAGCAACAACGACTATGATGGGTTTATTGATAAATGTTAAAGGCGATTCAGATGATTTCTAAATTTAAAAGACATGAAGATATAGTGTAACGTATGTACGGGCCAGGTTAACATGCAGGTTGTTGACGTATATGGCAATTTAAAAATAATGAACATGACCAGAAAATAATTTTAAAGTTAAGACTGCTTGTGAAACTTCAGGCACGAATATGATGAATTATAAATTTTCCAAAAGTTAATGCATTTAGCCTAGGGACAATTACAAATATGTGGCAGAAGTAACTGGAAAATATATACATGTTAAGTACAAAAATTATCAAGTAAAATAGTTGAACTCGCCTGGATTATTTTTGAAAATTAGATTATTCAGTGGACGACAATATATAACGACATTCGTGAGGAGTAGTAATGATCCAAAAGTATCCAGAATAAAACATGCAGTATGGCAATTAATTCCGGGTGCTTGATGCTGTTGACGTTTTTGCCACTCGCTCGGATCAGAACAATTGAATGAATCCAGATACTTGTGTGGTCGCCATTGAACGAGTTATCTAAAATGACCTTATGATTGCAGAAAACCTATAGCTGAAACTCACCGTATGTTTTTGGAGAATTGTCATCCTTGTTGTTTGGCAATGGAACTCGAAAATATGAAATTAGGCAGGCAGTGGTCAGAAGAAAGATATTACAGGATAGTGCATAGTTTAAAACAGGATGAGGTGTTAGGTGAAGGAACACTGATAATTAGATCCAGATAAGTATTTAGTCCTTGATTACATTGTTAGTCAATGTATATTTACGCTATTAACAGGTCATATTTGCTAGAGCTTGATGTTTAAACAAGTCTATGTTGCTGAAGCAGGTAAATGCTATTAAAGCTTGTTAACGAACCATCAAAGCTAATTAGTTGATATAGATGATCAACTTTTATTATCGATTGAGCTAGTAAGTTATGTGAACTAATAGATATAACATTACGATAATATATGTGACCATTAATCAAAGGACTATTAGAATACTGGGTTTACAAAAATAAAAACCGATTGAGAAGGTTAAGGTGGAAATAAGGATTAACAATAATAGGTTGCGTTTCTTTAGTTGGGCTCACCAATGTAGAATTATGGTCTACTATGATATAACGGCTGCTCTAATAATAGACCTAATCCTAAATTTGTAGATTTGTCATGATATAACTGCCTAATCTATAAGATCTTACGTGGAAGTCACACCATCGACTACGCCAACTCACTGTATCGTATCAATTACCAATACATGATGTAGAACAAGGTTAGGCTAGAGAAAGAACAATATATTTAATATGAATAGAAGATATAAGATAACATTCAGCAGGTACCACGTCTGCATGTCCGAGCCATGCCGTTCGATCAACTCTAATTCATTCAATTCGTTGTACGCGCTTCTCCATTGTTAGGTATTTCTCCGCGTTAAATATTGAATATCTATTTTCTGAGTAGTCTTGTGTTCAGCTTTGAAGATTGTGTGGTTATGGTCCAATGCCACTACAGAGTCATATATCGACATCGAGTACGACAGTCGTATGCTGGAAGGACTATCCCGCTTTACTCGTCTCGGTTTCACTCATATCCTGATTATTGGGGACTTCCATCTCCCTAGAGTCAACTTCGCGGAACATACGTACATTGGAGGTGAAAATTCAACTGAAGTTCTGTTCTTCAACCTCATTGAGGACTTGGGATTATACGAAAATGCAAAGTCGGCAGCTCGTTGGAGAAACAGTCAGACACCATCGCGCTTAGACTGTGTATGTAAAAACGAAGAATTCCTAGTTGACAAACTCTCAATCCTGGCTCTCCTGGGAAAAAGCGATCACGCCGTTATAACTTTCAGTTTCGTCGGCAAAATTGAGCTAAGATATCCCACCAACAACTTGCGCTGGAATTTCAAACGGTTGAATGTGTCAGCTCTACAGGACTATCTACAACAGGTGGATTGGGGTGTTCACCCCCAACTCGATGTGGATACTCATTGGGAATTGTTACTGACACGCTCATAGGTGCTAAAAATCATTCAGTTCCTCAAACGGCCCCCATAGCTATCAGCAACCCACAATCATCAGGAACCACACTCTTTGCCTGCTAAGCCCCAAAAGGCACTGTTGGGCAGAGTACAAACGAACTGACAACAACGGAGTGTACAAGCAACACAAACATATAAGGAACATATGCACGAAGGCTATAAGAGAAGACAGGCTCTAGTACCAGACAAAGCTTATGGACAAATTTGTCTCTAATCCGAAAAGCTTATTCAGTTATGCAGCCTCTCTTCATCAAGCCAAAACTGGAGTTTTCTAACTGCTAGGTCTTAACGGTCCGACCAACGCCGACGGCGACACCGCTAACCTTTTGGCTGAACAATACTCTCAGACATTTCAACCGACCCACACAAACTATACTGACGAAAGCTTCGTCTGCAACTCCAAAGGACTTTCTGAAGTGAACCTGAGCGCCGACTTGGTGTTGCGGAAACTGCAGCAATTAAGAATAGACACTTCTCCTAGCCCTGATATGGTTCATTCTGCCATACTGAGGGAGGCAGCCTCAATCCTGGGATGTTTTCACACTTGCTAAGCCGAGGAAAATACCGGAAAATGTGAAGCTGGCTCAGATCACACCAATTTTCATGGGAGGTCGACGCAGCGAACATTCAAGTTACCGACCGGTGCCTCTTCTCTCAACACCTGATATGGTATAAATGACTATTTTCTGTCCTTACATTTCTTCTCACCCAAACAGCATGGTTTCAGGGAGGGTTACTTTTGTATAACAAGCCTGCTGACTGCAGTGGACAAATGGACAAGCATCCTCGATCACAAGAGGAAGGTTGATATCATCTACCTAGATTTCTCAAAAGCTTTTGATAAGGTTAGCCATACATGTCTTATCAATAATCTGAAACAACTGGGTATTAAATCACCTCTAATCGATTGGCTCGCTTCATACCTGAAAAATCGACATTTTAAAGTCAGGGTTAATTTCACTTTATCTCAGGCCACGGAATGTCCTAGTGGGGTCCCCCAGGGCTCGGTACTAGGGTCTTTTCTCTTCTTGATTTACATAAATGATCTTCCTCAACAGGTAACGTCAGACTTATTACTTTCTGCCGACGACGTGAAACTTTGGAGAGAGATACGCAACCAAGACGATATAAAGGCACTTCAGGAGGATCTGACTCGACTTCGAAGCTGGACAGACGATAACGGACTTACCTTTAACACTTCAAAGTGTAAAGTAGTCCATCTGCGACATGTCGCAGACTACAGTCATAATTTAGGATACTCCTCTCTGGTAGTATCCCAAGTCGAAAAAGATTTAGGAGTTCTGGTGCCCTACGATTTAAAGTCTTATGCTAACTGTGACAAAAATGTCTTCCGAGCAAACCTTGCACCGGTAACATTGAAGCGCATTTTTGGCCAGTTTGACGGAAGAATTTTACATATAATCTTCATTATAGTTTTATCTGTCCCCATTTAGAATATGGAAACATAGTATTTTCTCCCTCACTCCAAAAGGACAACGACACTCTGGAGTGTGTCCAACGGCAAGCCACGAAATCAATTCGGGGACTCAAATTCAAGCCACATGAAGAACACCTCCAAACACTAAACCTTAACTCATTAGAGTATAGGCGTCTTAGAGGTGACTCTCTAATGGCTTATAGTATCCTTAACACCTCTGAACATTCCCTTAAACACCTACTTAAGTTTAGCTCTAACACGAACCTAAGAGTTAACACCCAGAGATTAGAGACACAACACAGCAGAACGGATTGTGAGATGGTGGAGAAGATTTGTAGCTCAGGTGGATGATTTTGATGGAGTTTTGTTCTCTGAGCTGGAGGGTTTGGTCGTGGAGCTTTCATCGTTCTTCTGAACGACATCATCAGCACAAACTTCAGATAGAAGTCTATCTGAAGAACGGATTGTAGATAGCGCTTCTACTCCTTAAGGGTTGTCAAATGATGGAATTCACTTCCGACTGAGCCAGTCCAAGCGATTTCACAGGATTCCATTAAGAGGCAACTTGATCTATTTTTAAGGATTAACGATAGTATCACACTATGATTTACCAATTTCTTTTTCCTCTTCATTGTTAACATACTTAGGTTACTGCCAGGAGGTATTGGTGATCCCCTGCTACTAGACACGGAAGCCTGTTAAGTGAAAGCTTCTTCTATTTCGTCCATAACCATTTGAACTATTTGAAACTTTTGACTAGATATTAACCGCTATACATATAAGCTCACGACTTAGATATTGGATATTGGAATCTCAAGGACGTCGTATTTTGTTTGGAGATGATTCCCGAGGCTATGGCGCTTTGGATTGCCTCTTTACATTTAACATGGAATTTTTATTTGATGAGACCCCTTTACGCACGTAGGTGAACATTTATTGTTGGTTTCCCACAGCGTTGAATCAATTATTCAGTTGCATGCATGTAACGATCTCTATCCCAATGTTTCGAGGGCTCGCGATTCACGAAAGCAAATAATTGAAAGTTCAGCAGCAATCTACTCGTATAATTTCTCTTCAGTAATCCACTGGGATCTTTGGCGTAACGTTTCGCGGTCGGTTCCTGACTAAACTTTGCGGCTTCAATTTAGACTGACCTTAAATTTAAATCCAGACTCAGATTTATGTAGTAAGGACAGAAGGCTTACGGCTCATGTTATTTCTTCTCTAGTATGCTTCTATGAGTGTCCAGTCTTCTCTTGAATGGGTCAGTTGAAGGTGAAGACCTAAGTGCTTCGGGTAACAGGTTCCAACAATTGATGACACTGGAAACATGTATGCCACTGGTATACTCCTCGTTGGCTTTTCCACTCGTCTGCTATGTCCTCTGACTTTTCCTAATCTGGTGGGAAGAAAAAGAAGATATATTAAATCCAGAATCGTCCCTTAGTATTCTGTACATAAAAATCAGATTGCCTCTTAATCTGTGGTAAGACAGAGTAAAGAGGTCTACCTTTTCAAGCTACTCTTTGTATGGTAAACCCCGGGGTTCTGACATTGCATGAATAGCTGACCTCTGCAAGTTTCACAGGATATCCGAGTCACCTTTTAAACAGGGATTTGCAGCCTGAAGGCAGTTTTCAAGTTTAGTTCTCACTAAGGTTGTGTATACTGTAGTGAACATAGTAGAATCTAACTTGATGGATGTCCATCCTAAAGCCCATAGTGTTTCATACCCCTTAGCTGCTACCTCGCGGCAGTGGGCCGTGGTCTTAAGATCATGGCTCACTGTCACCCGAAGGTACTTGAGAGACTACGGGTACAGACAATTCCCCTATGTTGTACCTATTCGCCTTTGTATCCCCAATATGCATGTAGACACACTTGGCCGCGTTGGTGGGCATCAGCCATTTATTAGACCAGTTAGTCAAAGCATCTAGGTCTGCATGATCCGCGCACGCATCTGCGTCTCCTGTTATTTCTCGCCGGGTTTTTACATCAACGTATAATGGCATTGAGGACTTGGGAGTTTGTTTTCATACAGTATAAAAAGTAAAGGACGTAGGACAAAGTCTTGTGGGACTCCACTGAGTACTGGTTTTCAGGCGGAACACTCGGAATTCACCCTTACTTTCTGTCTACGACCCGTCAAGAAATCCTTAAGCCACTTTAGGAGAGGTTCGTCAATGCCATAATTTCCCAGCTTCAACAATAGTGTTATTTTCTGCACTTTATAAAATCCCTTGCTTAAGTCTATGTAGATAACATCCACTGATTTTGCCTTGTCTAAATCCTCTATCCAGTTCTCTCGCTATAAAGAGATTTGATGTGCAAGATAAACGTTTCCTGAAACCATGTTCGCTGTTTAACAAGTTGTTGGTTTCCACGGATGTCATCATCTTGTTGATCATTCTTCCCAGTATTTTAACTACGACACTGGTGAAGCTGACAGGTCTATAGTTTGATGGGAGTTGTCTTGATCCTGTTTTATGTATTGGAGTGACAATTGCACCCTTCCAGTTCGTAGGTAACTCACCTTGGTCAAGTGACATATTGAATATTGTAGTCGATGGGACAGCAATATCTTGTGCAATTTGTCTCAAGATTTTAGAATGTAGTTCATCCAGTCCTATTGACTTCTTCATATCTAAAGTACATCGTTTCGATCGAAGTCCAAAGTGAGCAGACGATTTTTTGACTTTGTATTTAGGTCTGGTTATTCTTCTAGAGGAGGCTCCTGAGTGAAAACTCCTGAAATAGTTCGTCATAGCCTCTGCTTTTTCCTGACCATCTATCATTTGAGACACAATCCCTTCCGTAATTAGGTTTGGAATCCTATGCTGCGTCCTTGTCCTGTAATTCATGTACGAGAATAGTCTCTTAGGCTGCTTTATTATAGATTCGGCTTTTTATATTTTCACTGAGCTTCCCATATTGTCCTTATACATTTATTTCGCACCGACCTGTAGCGTTTAGAGATATCTAAATTTTACTTATTAACATGGTCAGTCAGTCAGTCAGTCAGCTACAACGTAGGACCAGGCACATATGTGCATCGGTCCAGGTTGCCATACCTCATTAGCACAGCAAGATGAACACCGGATTCATAAAAGTAGTTAATTCAGAGGTGGTAATATATAGGAGGATTGCAATAAGGATATAGTATAGGAAGAAAGAAAGATATGAAGTGATTTTAATCTCTTAGTTTAAGGGAAGACAGAGAGTGTATACACCGACGCCATTGTAATCGATTCTGAGCCATGTCACCAAGAGTCTCCAACCATTGGTTACGAAAGTGACGCGGACCCCAACCAAGTAGTCTGCATCTACCAACATGGCTCAGACTACAAGTTAGTGACTTCAGGCACTGATGCCACGTTTTGGTTTGGCCGCCCCTAACTTTCTTCCAACCATCCCCTACACCGGCTAGCATTGCACGTCGTGGTAATCGGTGTTCAGGCATACGTAACACGTGGCCCAACCATCTCAGTCGATGAAGATTCATAACCTCATCAACTGATTTACCATCATTCCCTAATACCCTGCGTCTAACCTCACTATTACTTACCCGGTGATCCCAGCAGATGCCAGCAATATTTCTAAGGCATCTGTGGTCAAATACTAGTAGCTTACGGGTGTCTTCTACTCTTAATGGTAGTCAATAATATGATTGTCATGAGCTCATTTTTATCCTGATGTTTTTGTGCACTCCGGCCTGTTAACTGAAATCCGGTAAGCATACGTGTAAATGTGGTTAGAGATCTTGTTGCTGTTTATCTGGCTTGCAACAAGTGAAAATTCGGAAGTACTGACTCAGACTTTTGTTTCCCGTCTTTATTCCAGGTAGCCACACATTTGGGACATTATGTCAGCAATCTTAAACATTAAACCGGTTACAACAAACTGCAGTGTTGGCTATTTTGACCAGAAACTGCCATTCTACTTAAACCATGTGTAAACATACCCCAGTAAATGTAAACCGTCATTTAGTAGGCGAAACTAGTCATTGCATAGCAAATGTTAATAGCTGTAGTCTGAGATACTTCTAATCATTACATTTAGGTTGTACACCTTTAAATTTCGGTATTTCCGAGGATGTCCGGTCACCACTGTTTTCATGTTTTACGCTTATTTAATGTCATGATAACGTAGTCCTAAGGCTCACTTATGTTTAGATATGGTAAAGAACGTTATGTTGTTGCAAAACCATCCGGAACTAACAAATGTTGCTGCTGCTGCTTTTCCAGAAAAGAGGAACTTCTCAGGGTCTTAGTGAGACTTTAACGTTTTATTGTTGTTATATCCTGTCTACATCTATTTCCTAAGAATATTGTGGTATTGTATGACGTATGTCTCAGGGCCTTCATTATGCCAAGTTTTTATATTTAAATTAATGGGAGAGTTTGTTCAGTGAAATTCTTATCAACGAATTTGTTCTATTTATACAATCAATCCTTGAGACTGTAATAAAGTATTTGTTGTATGATTCGTTTCAATGATGCCAGTCGTGTATCTTTCGAGTTTTGTGGTAACATGCCTATCTATTATTATTACCACTACGATTTTTATAACTCATTATATGTTGAGAATTTTGGTACATCATGGTCACCGACTGTTTTTTATTTATTCGAACACGAATATTGGTGCAAAGGGGCACCAAATACATATGCGCCACACAATAATAATAATGTGAAGAGATAGAGAATTTAAAGTGCGTATAAGAATAAAGAGATCAACAACGAACAGAAATTGGTGCATGAGAGTGAAATAAGACAACCAGAAAGAATTCTTCCAGTTAAAAAAAGTTAAGCTCATTTTTTTTACGAAGAAAGTAAAAGAAAGTTACTGCAGGATCGCCACTGGCTTTTATTCTAGCAATTGGATTAAGAAGGGATCAATGAATAAAAGAATCCAAAGTAAAATCACAGAATATATACAGAGATTATGCAGTCTTTACTATGTCTTTTTAGCTAGGTAAAAGAAATGAACGGAAAGATTATTAATTATAATTTTGAATCATTTTTGGCAATATTTCAGGCTATCTTGTAGCATTATTTCCGGGGCCTCATCCAAAAAGTCATCATACAGAGACGGTTGCTTATCCACTAAAATTACTTGTTACGGTTTCACCACAGAGACTGATCACTTTAAATGCTTTCCAAATGGTCCAAGCTTCAGCAAACAATGATTGTCATGGCATTCACTAGAATATGCACCTATTGTACAAAACCTAAAATACTTATGGCTATGAACTGATCATGATTCCACTAGTTTATGCATTACCACTCATTGAGATTGTGGCTTTCATGTTTCTTTCGAGCTTTATCATCATCTATCACACCTTCCGTCGATGTTCCACAATGTCTTCAAAGAGATACCAAAAGGAGATTTGAGAAAGTAGATAACGCTGCCTAGTTGGACCCTAGGTTCAAATGAATCAAAATGGACATCAAAGCATTAGAAGTCTTTTAGAAGTTGGGTAACTGCGTTAGCGTAAAATGATATTAAAGCGATAATGGATCGTCAGAAAAATTGATAATCAGGAAAAGTCGCCATAGAACTACCTCTGCTCCATTATCTGATTTACTGTAACACCATCAAATACACATTATACGATGTTAATCACGAGATATTTAGATGTACACGGAATAGACAATGTTTGATAGCCTTCATGCAAACTATTCAGGTGGATTTTTATCAACAGGCTAATATTTTTGGGAACAATTTTGTTATAGAAGCCCATCCAATTAATTTTTGTCTCCATCAAAATTCTTAGAAATGTAGTAAAGGTTTTCTTAAGTTTTCTGACAGTAAAATTTGGTTTAGAAACTATTAGCTTTACATAAAAATTCGTCATTTATCCTAGATCTTTACCGAACAGTTCTTTTGGGAGGTGGCGCCTACATAATTTCTCGCGAAGCACTAAAAGCGTTCCACAAAAGGAAAGTGACTCATCTCAAGGCTATCGATATTTATAAATCTCAATTTCCAGATAGAGTTCCTGTAAAATGTAAGTTTATTTTCTGCCTATACTAATTATTGTACATTTCTATATCATAAATTTTTTATATTGCCTAATTTGGGAGGTTTTTATTATGTATTTAAACTGCTGCTATCTTTAAGCCAGTAACACAAAGGTTGGATATTTTTATACTTTTAATCTGATTGTTTCATTTATTTCCAGTTGGTATGTATAGGTTATGTTTTCAGAGAATTTATAGATATTCATGCTAACAGTAGTAGTTATAACTTAGCGTTCATCGGCAAACGGGCATTACTAAATTCTAACAGATCAAATTTTATGTGTCCCACAGGATGTGTTGTTTAACCATTCGGAGCAATTAATTTTAAGCATTCATCCAACGTGTCATGTCCCAATGTCGTAAACTGATTCTACTTAAATTAAACGCAATAAGAATGAGAATTTAGGAAGCACTTTTTTGTTCGTTTTTATTTTAACATAGTCAAAAACCAGTAATTTATTCTAAATTTGATCATGAAAACAGTTTTAGCACTCACTAGCTTGTAATAGTTGGCAAATTTTTATCTTTTGCTTGGTGGGGATTTTAATTGTATATTACAGTAGTCTTTTAGTCATGTACATTGCAGTTTGGAAACACGGTCGTTAAGATCCAATCCTTTAAGTTTCCGAAAGTACTAATTTATCGATTGAATATTAGCACTATTAAACTAATAAAGGTTCACAGGAAGACTTTCAGTCATGAATAATGAAGTAGTTTTCCAATGAAATTACTGAGGAATTTATGTTGCTTTGGTCATTATTGTTAATTTAAAATGGTGCAGAATATCATGATTGTTATAATGGATATGAACTTACTCTTAGTTTGTAATGCCATTATTTAAGCGTCATTTAAAATAACCCGAGTTTTCTTAAACGGATTTAGGATTGATCGTTTTAAATCATTCGGTCAACTGGTGATTCACCTGTGAATCTGCATTCTTTGTTTTTGGAAAATTTAATACACTGTTTTTGCAAATTTTTTTTATTGGAGTTCAGTGTTGTCGATTTGCCTTTGTATAGGGTTTTAATGTTGCTCAATCTAAAGCAAAATTTTGTAGTTTATGTTTTCGGTTTTTAATTAAACGTCAAGACAACGTGACATTAGGCATTTTTGTAGAGCAGAAACCCTCATTAGAATTATATCTACCAAAAATACCTTGACATTACTAATAACAGTGAGAAAAGTTTGAAAGGCCATATCCACTTAATGTTTCCACCAGTCACCATGTTGCCCCGTGTGGTGTATTCTGTTTTTGGTGCCCAATTGCACCATACTCGTGTACGAATTATAAGAACGTAAAGCAATGGCTTAGAGAATCCAACCTCAATAAATCGTAGACCTATATTCCTCTAGATCTAATTCAGTTTGGCCATTCGAGCAGTATCGTTAGTTCCTACACAGACTGAGGTTCAAAGCCAAGTACGTAAATCTGTGTTTGGTAGTTAAGTTTCGTTATAATCTACATGGGGAATATTTTACTGATCATGGGATTGTTTACACGAGTTCTTGCAAATAAATTAAAAACTTTGTCTTGTAAATTTCATTTCTATAGATTTTAACTTGTAATAGTTCGATTAGAGTTCCTCAGGTAACTAGTCCCCCTTTTAGTCCTTTATTTGCATATAGGTCACATTAGAATAATATTTTGCATGTCACTGTGTTATGTACTAATCTCATTCATAAGTTTTAACTAAGGTGGAATAAACTGATTTGCATAATCAAGTCAACGTTATTGAAAATACGGCACTAAGACGGTTAAAAAAGGTTAGATGAAGGATACTTCAGTGATTTAAATTCAGTAAATGAGCAATAATTGTAAATGTACCGGATCATTATGTATAATTATGATTATGATCATAGGTTACAGCTTCGGTATGGTTTAAGATCGATGACGCTGACAAAATGCAGTCTTCTGACCACTATAAGCAACAATGCATTCATGTTCGGCATGCGATTCTCTCCCTCGAAATGCAAAGTGTTGCTTCAGGATTGGGTTGGATCGACACCCGAACTAATGATAGGGAGTGAAATAGTTGAACGTGTCGACCGCTTCACTTATCTCAGAAGTCTCATCAGCCCTTGTGGTCTGTTGTGTGACGAAATCTCAGCACGGATACAGAAGGCTCGACTAGCTCTTGCCAACTTGCGTCATTTATGACGTAGGCGAGATATCCGTCTATCAAACGAAGGACCGGTTTACTGCGCAGCAGTTCGTTCCGTCCTACTTTGTGGCAGTGAAACATGACCAGTAAGAGTAGAAGACATTCGTAGGTTATTAGTATTTGATCATAGGTGTCTTCGAAACATTGCTCGTATATCCTGGGGTCACCGAGTAAGTAACGCAGTTGTTAGAAAACGGGTACTAGGTAAGGATGGCAAATCAATTGATGAGGTAGTGAAAATTCATCACGTGTTACGTATGCCCAACCACCGACTGCCCCGACGTGCGATGTTCAATGACATAGGAGTAGGTTAGAAGAAAGCTAGGGATGGCCAGACCAAAACATGGCATAAATCCATGAAGTCACAGACAAGTGGACTGAGCCATGTTGTTAAGTGTAGACTACCAGGTTGGGGACCGCGAGATGATAGCAACCGATGGTTAGAGACCTTGAATGACATGGCTCAAAATCGTTTGCAATGGCGCAGGTGCATCCACTCTCTGTGTTCTCCCAAATTCTAATCTTCTGAATTCTTCATGTCCCTTTTTTCCTCTTTCCAAATTTATTTCACTGTATTATACTCTTTGAATAACATCTCCAGACCCTAATCTTCCCGATTACTGCTTATACTCTTATTACCTCTACCACTACGGGATTTGAATCGACAATTGTATCTCTGTGCTAATGTGCTGTGGCAACTCGGACTGATGTACGTACGTATGAAGTTCTAAGTTGTTACTGATTTATTCAAGTAAACATACATTTACAGCTTACCTTAATAAAGTTTCAAAACACACACTTAAGATGTAGGGTATTAAAATGTCTAGAAATCTGTAGTTTAATTGTCTCCGTCAAGAGTTTCTTGCACGATCACTGAGCCTCATTTTATGAAATAACCTACCATTTAAATATGAAGTAAAATACTTTGGTCAAATAGTGATTATAACTCATTGGCAAACAATACGTCTGTTTTCAAACTGTGATTTATGGCTTACATCTTTAACGTTTCTCAATGTCAAACGAAATATCCGTCATCATTTTTATTCGGGGTTGTCTAGAAAACAACTATAGCTTACCTATTGGTAATTACAGTCAATAACATAATAAAATGTAGAAACGTTCTCGTGTTACTGTTTTATTATGAATTCCTCGTTAATAATGCCGAATAGTAGCATACATTCTATGTAAACTCTACTGCAAGAGATTTCGAGTTTGGTTGCTAAAGAAATGATTATCTTAATTTTTTTTTTTACAAATATCACATCTATAGGCTTTGGTTATTTAGCTGTAAATTCAGTAGATTAATAATAATCATTACAACTATTTCATGCAATGGGTTCGCCTAACAAACTTAAACATTAAACAAGAATGACCCCCAAATGCCTTGGTACGGCCGAGGGTGTGAAGAGTATGCTCTTTCTCGAAATGGGCACTCGTATATAGCAACTGCTATGAAAGTCCTACTCACTTCCTTCTTGCGGTTGGGATGTTTACGAAATTGAAGGGAAGAAATGCGAATATTCGATACTTAAAACGGCTTAGTAGGTACGAAGGACCCACCTAAAGGGGTTGGAAAATCCTGATTCCAAACCAGTGGCTTAAATGGGTCTAGAATCCTGAAAGAGCAAATGACGTACGAACCTATTGTTGGTCGCTGGGTACCATGGAACCGCCTTGTAGATTATACCTCTAGGTGGAAGCCTCGGGAAACAACCCCCTAAGAAAACCACCTGTTTCGGTTTGGACATCCGGGCAGTATCCCAACTTACACACACATCCAGTGATTTGTGTAGCTCACATAATATTTTGGTGTCCCTCTGTACCAATGTTTGTGTTTAAATAAATAAAAAAATGATAACGGTGTTTGCAGAATATGACGTGACTTCACCGTATTTCATTGCTGTTTTCAGCTAGATTCCCGTTAATATGTTCGTTCATTTTGAATTTTTCGCAATTTGAAAGAACGAGTCATCCACAAATAAAAAATAATTTGTTCAGTATATAAATAATTAATAAAGTTTTTACATGGTTTTTATAAATGCTTGAAATAGCAATCCAAGGATATTTAATGTAATAGACATATAAGTTAAACTTACTAGATTGTGATCATAGTTGATTAGAAGAAAATGAAAATAGGTCACATACTTAGATATAGTAGGCCACCATGGTAGATGAAAGTTAAGTATTAAAATATCAAATACGAAAGCCAGGTTTAAGCGTTCGAATTACTTTGGTTTTTGCCAATTTTAATAATGTGAAATCGGATTGTTTGTGAATAGTTTTAAATATAATCGTAGATTATTAGTATTTGGTTATGGATGCCCTCAAAGTATTACTTTTAGATGTTGAAACCATTGAGCTACAAATTCTGAGGTTAGATGCAGAGTAATAGGGACGATGGTGTATCGATTGATAATATAGTGAGTTTTTATCAACTAAGATGAATAGGACTTGAATCACGTGTATCTAATTAGTGTCTACGTCGACGCGCGATAATGGTTGGTTTAAGAGTAGGTCAGAAAAATGATAGGGACGGCCAAACTAAGTCGTGTTATCAGTCCATGAAGACACAGGTTTTCATGGTGGTCTAGCCTCAATCGACTCATGATCTCAACCATTGAAATTACTATTGTTGTGGATGCGCAGGAATAGACCAATAATTATCATGTTAAGTCCAATAGTGTCCTTGGACTTTAAATGGGTATTTTCTATTTGTCGATATCTGTTCACTTGTTGTATATTGTACAAAATGTTGTTTTCTATTTTATGGTACGATGTGGTGTGCTTGATTGGTATATAAACAAAGTATGTTTGAAATATAATGA